GCTGGCGCTGACTTCTCCGCAGGGCGACACGGTGGTGCGGGTGCCGTACAAGGTGGCCATCCCGCTGCGGAGGGTCAAGACGGCCAAGCCGAGCGAGAACAAGGACCGGCCGGAGCAGAAGTACGTGCAGGTCGTCACGGACGACGGCTTCGAGTTCTGGTTCATGGGATTCGTCAGGTACCAGGTGTCCCTGCAGGAGCTGGAGAAGGCCATCGCCGCGCAGTCGTCGCAATGACCTGACGCGAAGGAACGAACGTCCGGCGTCGTCCGTCGGCTCCGGTGTTCGGGCGGGCGCTGTGCTTGTGGTCTGGTACTCTGGTTCGTCTGTGTGCATATGTAGTAGGGTTCAGTGTTCTTGATGGATTGCTTGGCGTTTTTGGCATTGAAGCAAGTCCGGTATACCGAATATAGGATCGAGAAAATTTATTAAATGACATAATTGGTGATGTTGAGTAAATCTGCTACGGTGCCACGGTAAAAGTGGCACCTATGAGGTTTACATATGGAATGAAAAACACAAAATGTTTGTGCAACACCTAGATTGTGATGAGCTGAATTATGATCCAATCCTTTTACTTTGTGGGAATCGTACTGATTCTACTTGTCCGTTTGCTGTTTTGCTTGCATATCTCAACGGATGAATGCTAATTCCTATTTCTTATCGTGCCTGGCTAGCTAGTTAAACCTAGGGTTCTAAATTAAACAATCGTGCCGTGGAGAACTATTACGAATGAGTCTCTAATAACTCACAAGTGCCCTTTCAAGATTACCACTGAGATACAACAGAAGGGAAAAACTTCAATCTCAGCTTACGGCCCGTTGGGATCCTTTGATTTTAGAGGGATTGGAATCTATTATATGGATTATGTTATTTGGTTTGACAATCTAGAAATTTCTAAAGTTTACATATAAGCATGTCTTAAATTTATGGGGTGAGAGGTAGAAATAGATTATGTAGATAGATCCCTATGCTATGTTTTTGCTTTGCAACTTATACCATGTTTTTTTAGCTTACTCACCCGCAGCCACAACAGAAGTGCCGCACTTAAGCTTCTCCCCCATATGGCAAACAACATCATACAAATATGTTTCGCCATGTTAACTTAAATGATCTTTATTTAAATTGTGATTATTATAATAAATTTTAATTTCAAGGATCCAACGGGAATTTTATTTATTTATTTATCTTTCTTTTCCCCCAAATGCAACGATCGACCTCATGTGTTGCACAAAAGCTTAGGAACTCGTGCATTCCATATCCAAATGCTAAAACAGTGAAACATGAAAGGAACATTCCACCAGTGAGAAGCGAAAATTAATCTGAATAGCAGTCAACTCCAAACTCCAACTAGCGGGATGCCAAAATGAACGCCCCGTGTTGGCTCGCTGAAATTTGGTTGCTGCTGCCGATGATGCTGATTTGTTATGAGAGAAAAACACTGTTACTTCGCTGAAAGTATTGCTGAAGTAGTGCCGAAAAACAGGGTGAACGTTTTCTTCTATTTTTCACTTTCCTGCAACAGGTCCCAAAATACCATATATCTTGATAGAATTAATTATGGAACATCTGAGAAGGTTACAAAATCATCGAGGGTGTACATGCATGTAAGTGCTATTTAATTAGCTGCCTAGTTCTTCTAGGTTTGTTTTTGGAGAACATGATGTTTAGCAATATTTTGGAGAACTGAAAGTATGAAAAAGAATCATATACTAGTAAAGAGATAAACAATATATTCATTCATCTTTTTTACCCCTGAGGGAACCGTCTATTTTATTCATCGATGGGGGATTTGAATTTTCTTTTTTATGGATTTATTGCAGGTGAATTTTTGAAAATCATATAAAAATCATAAAATGAAAATCCTGTCCCGATATGCTTTAGTAAACCACCGCGATCTTGCAGGTTAATCTAAAGCTAAAAAAAATTGTACTAAAGCAACACATTGTGTAGATCTACTATGTGAGTCCAATAAAATTATTATTTTTCATTTTATGATTTTTCAAAAATTCATGAAATAAATAAAAAAAGTCAAACCCACCGTTGTCAACCTGAGTTACATTGTCAAAAACCGCCTGGGGTAAAATAGACGGTTTTGAAAGTTCAGATAAAATGACGGTTTCATAGTTGAGGTGAAGTAGACCATGTATGACAAAAGAATCATATACTAGTAAAGAGATAAACAATATATTCATTCATCTTTTTTTTAGGGGAGTATATTCATTCATCGATGGGGGATCAAATGATGAGGCTGCAGGCGGCGCCCTGTCCCGTATAAACCACCGCGATCTTGCAGGTGTAACTTCCAACACTGAGCAGTCTATGATTAAGTTTGATGAGACATTCCACTCTGTTCGCTGATGCTGAAATTTAGCTTATGCTGAAATGTTATGAGAGAAAAATAATATTCTATAGTTGAAAAGTAATTTTGAATAAGCTCAAGCGAATACGGGATTAAAAAATTGTTGGCAGATGATTAGATTTGCAATCTATGATTCGACGAGAAGCATAACTGGTGGTGCTTTTGTTTTTCTTTTGCTGTACTTCTTTTAAGCGTTCTGTCGATCGCTAGTAGAAAGTGAACCTGAAAATCCAATCAATAACGCATCGACAACGCAATGCCAGGCCTTAACAGCGAAGCACCAGCTACGTTAATTGGCCTTGTGGGCATAAAGAAATGCGATGATCGATGCCCCTTTGCAATATAAGCCTTTGTTCGTTGTGGGTTCGTTTCCGGTTCGTTTTCATCCTATATTGGAATTGGTTGGTGCGTGCCAATGTTCTACTTTTGGAATCTGAAATACTACTGGCAGTTGCTGTATCATTTGGTATAAACGTAGTACTTTTATGTTTCAGGTCCTTCAACATCCGAATATTTTTGCATTTTCGAACCAAATAATTGAAAGTCACATTGCGTTAGTTTTTCCAGGAATCGAGCTACACTTTCGAGGAACCAAATAATACTACTTGTAATACTGAGGACCGAACAACATTTTTTTTTCCGAACTAAGCGTAGCTCGTTCATTTGGCAGAACCGTCCAGCTCAACTAGTTGGGTTCTTAGAATCTGTCCATCCGGGTTCAAGTCTCCAACTTGACACGTGTGCTCGTATTTTTCTGGATTTATTTTAGGATTTAATTGGCACTATTCTTTCAGTGGTAGGCGATGTGTCCGTCGACAGCGAGGCGTCTGTGTGACTCCATTGATCTCAAAATTTGTCGGTCCAACTCAATTCTTCGAAGGTGCTCATAGAGATAAGGTGTGCGTGCATGCGTTCATATGAGTGAGTATACGCTCGTGTATGTGAACGTGTACGACCGTAAGTGTGTCTCGAAAAAAAGAACACTTTTTTTAAAAAAAAAAAGAGATCCGTGGACATTGCACTAGTGTCATTCCTCCAATCCTCCCTCCCTTCTTGGAAGGACGGCATGGTCGGCCACGGCCACTCTACCAGAAAACGATTTGGTTCCAGCCGTCGAGTCGGCAACATCTCCCGTCCGTCTCTGCATCGACACGTATGGCATGGCGGGGATACGCCGATGGCGACGCTGAAACGAGAGGAGAGGAGCCCACTCCCCCCAGATCCGCTTCTGATACTCATGTTCAGAGTGGGTGCCTGCACGTCTGACAACGCAGCAACGCACTGTGCACAGAGCGGGGGGACACGCGCGCGGCGCGCATCGGCGTCCCTCCGCGGCGTCCAGGAACGGCAAAGCTGCCGGCCTCCCGTCGCAACGGCCCTTCCAGTTGCCGGGTTTATTGCGGTGCGGTGTACAAGGACGGCCGGCGCGGCAGCTGCAGCCACCAGCCATGCGCGTGCCAACAGTGCCCGGACGGTTACGTGATTACCGCCGGTTCACTTGGCTTAAGCCGTAATTTTTCAGCTAACGAACAATATTTTTCTCTCACAACAAATTAAACTTTCATGGCTTAAGCGAACAGGGCATACGTCGGTAGGTGAGGGCGGTCGCGGTTCGTCCGACTCGGCGCCGCGTGGGAGGTGACCAGGACGCCGGGCCGGGGGAGCAGGCAGGCGCGCGTGGTGACTTCGACGGGGAGGGAAGCTGTTTGTTGATTGCCTTGACGGGATCCTGTTTTTCCTCTGCAAAGCTAGCCGTTTTACACGTTGGGCTGGCCCCTACTACCTCCGTCCACATCACAGCCGGGCCGGGGTCCTCCTGCCTGCCTGCCGATAGCTTGCGGACGCGACCGGGAACAGTGTTTGTGGCCCTCCATCCCCTGTGTATGTTTAGACATCAGTATCACTCTCAATAGGCAGGGGCAGCGCATGTTACCTTACCCCTAATATCGTCCCGGTGCAATGCCTGAACGATCGATCTCTGCTCTAATAAGCCTCTAAACAAAACACCAGTGGTCCCGTGAACTAAAAGCTCGGCCAGTCGGCCGCTCGGCGCATCGGGCCCCTTGCTCCCCCCGACACCACGCCACCCGAGCGAAATGTGCAGGCACATGGGGCGCTTCTCGGAAAGCGGCCGGCAGCGACGGCGAGCCCCACACCGGCGGGCTCCGGATCCCATAGAGAAATCCAGAATCATTTGCCCTGGCGCGGTGAATATGCTGCATCTGGCCTCCACATGGCCGCCTGGCGCCGGGCGCTCTCTCCATTCCTAAGATTAAGAATAGGTCGAGCAGTTTTTAGGTACTCGCTGCAATGCAACCAGTAGGCGGAACGGAAGGAAGGGAGGGGGTCTACGCCTGCTTTAGACGAACGTGGACTGCGCCTTTCTGAGCCGCTGGTGACTCGCCCGGCCCGGCTGCTGACTCCGCAAATCCACTGCCTTTGCCAAAGCCGCGCGGCCCAAAGGATATTCCACCACCGCGGCGCCCCTATAAATGCCGCCCTCGGCAGCTGCACTCTGGTACCAATCCGCGATTCCTTACACGCTAAGGCACGCACCATCGACGCCAGCCAACGAGAGCCTAACTAGCTCTCTGCTCGCTCGTCCGCTGAGCTCGTGTCCACTAGCTAGCACCAGCAGCCATGAGGAAGTCGAGCAGCGACCATGTCATCATCGGCGTCCCGGTCACCTCCAAGGCGTATGGGATAGAGGAGGTGTCGTCCAGGGATCCGTCCTTCAGGAAGGGCGACGCCGGCGATCACCTTGCTGTCTCGTTGACGCACCCCAGCCCTTATGCGTCTTTCGGCTACAAACACAGTAAGTCTACCTTGATCGTGATCTCGTCTACACCATATACGATAATTAGTAACTTGAGAACATGTGTACGTTCTACTCTGCTAATAACAAGACACTTGAAAGTTTAGTTTACTGACGTGCGTGCTGTGTATGTGCTTCGATCTGCAGGCAGCAGCAAGGGTCAGGTGATCCACTGGGTGAGCAAGCTGGGCAGAAGGGCGCAAGGCTTCAGGGAGCACGTGACCCTGGGGCCGAAGCTGTCGGAGACGGTGAAGGGGAAGCTGAGCCTGGGCGCGCGGATCCTGCAGGCCGGCGGCGTCGAGCGCGTGTTCCGGCAGGCCTTCCCCGCCGACAAGGGCGAGCGGCTGGTGAAGGCGCTGCAGTGCTACATCTACACCACGGGCGGGCCCATCGCCGGGATGCTCTTCGTCTCCACCAAGAAGGTCGCCTTCCGCAGCGACCGCCCCATCACCGTCACCTCCCCCGGGGGCCGCGACACGGCGCGGGTCACCTACAAGGTGGTGGTCCCGCTCCGGAGGATCCACAAGGTGCGGCCCACCGAGAACGTCGACCGGCCGGAGGAGAAGTACATCCACGTCGCCACCGTGGACGGCTTCGAGTTCTGGTTCATGGGCTTCGTCAGCTACCAGCGGTCGTGCAAATACATGCAGCAGGCCGTCTCGGAGCTGCAATGACCGCGCGGTCCAGGGCCTGCAGGTTGATGAGGAGGGTCCGGTGGCTAGGCTGCCCGGTCGGCACGATGTGAAGAGAGGATGTTATGGGCTTGCTTCGCCATCTTTTGTCGCGAAGTAGCCGTAGCTAGGATTGCCCTATCTAATTTCGGATCGGTGCAATTGTGTTCCTTCCGCGTACGATGTTGGACCAACACCTGTGTTGTTCCAAAGTGGTTGCTTTGTACTAATAAATGGACCGAGCAATTAACCATTTGTGCATCTGCTTGTTGAATGGAGTAGTTCAGTATGTTTCTGATAGTTTATTTATCTCTACCAGTAGTAAGTAAGCGTCAGAACATACATAATGCAAAATATAATTTGACTACCAGTTTTTGTGGTACAAGATTTAAAATTTAGGAATATTGTGATAATAGTACTTCATACCAGTTTTTGTGGTACAAGAGTTTTTGTGAGTATTATTCAATTCTTGATACTATTCAAATTATTTTTTTCATACTTCATACCAGCAACTCTTGTGGTCTACATTTTCATGTTTAGCGGGAAAAATAAAAACAACATTTGTGCAGTGGGTGCATGCAGCTACGCAACCTCACACAACTACTTTGAAAATTTATCCAAGACAGGGAACCGTGCCCACTATGGTCTTGACGATGCTTAACTGGTGCTTCTGTGTAGTTCGGACGATCAACATCATCAATTATAAATTTATAATACATAAGGAGAGAATATACTAGCAAATAAGCACAAAAATGAGTCCATCAATCTATCAAGATTGAAATAAATTTTAAGGTAGGCACCATAAGATAGATCATGATTTTAGAAGAAAAATAAAAAACTAGTTTCATAATTTTTCAAGCTAAAACAAAATTTTCTCTAAATTTTTAGGATTAAATCAGATTTTGTGATTTTTAATTGTATTATTTTTCCATGACAAAAATATTTGGAGAAATGTTTGAAAAATATTTTTAGATTTTTAATAACAATATTTTTTGTCCATTGAACTTTCAACTTAGTCAATTTACTTCTCTAATGTGGTGCCAAATTAGTAAAATCACCGTCAAAACTGCTCGGGTGCAAAAACGGACAGTTTTTTAAAGCTGAGAAGGTTGGAAAGCTAGTTTTGTAGAATAGAGAGAAAAACTGGGTGACCATGATAGGTTTTTTTGTGACTTGTTTCTTTTTTTTTTAGGATTTGTGTGTGTGTGTGTGTGTGTGTGACTTGGTGACCGTGATAGTTGAGGGGACCCATTCCACCTGAATACGAGTCTTTTGTCAAGCCAGCCCAAGAGCATCAGATCAGGGCCAGGCCGACAAAGCTGAATATCAAATGGGTTTGTGGTTGTTTAACCGGCCTAGCATCGAGCTGGGCACTGGGCAGCATGGAACGACATGTTTGGTGGGCTAGGTCTGAATCCAAAGCCTCAAATGGATTCCATACTTGGATAGGTTGTTTAACCGGCCCAAGGAGGAGGCAGAAACGAAACAAGGGAGCTGCTGCAGAAACGCAAGGCGGCGGCGTGCCACGGCCGCGTAGATTCCGAATGCGGCTGGTTTTCATGCGAAAACGCATGCAAGAGCGCTTCTAAAGCGGCCAAGCGGTCGGTGATGCAAACAAGCTGATCCCAGCAAAGCCCGTGTTTCCCTGTACGCGGGCGGCGTAGGCGAACTTGATCGGCGCCGATCCGTGTTCTGATCGATCAGAACGACAGAACCCCTCTTGCAGCGTCGACTTGGGCCGCAGGAGCCAAAATACTACTAGTAGGTTGGTTGGGAAGCAAATCCAGATGATACAACTGCAAGCGCGTATCAAGGAAGCCCGACGAACTCGGATTTTTCTCATCAGTTTACTAGTAAAAAAAACTTGAACATCTGGTCTTCGCAGAAGCGCTGCAACGCGTGTTTTTAGGTTGCATCTGACTACTCGTGTACCGGCGCATCTTGGTATCAACACTTGGACTTGGACGCTCCACACTCCACAAATGCTGCGTCGGTTAACGAAAGGCACACAAATGAATGCGATGATGCAAGGAATGCATGCTACTCGCTCTCGGAAACGCCAGTTACCAAGTTTCCATGGACTTCAGGAGTATACGTTTAACGTTTCTGCAGTTTCCCAGTCGCGGATAGCGGGGAAACAGATCGGCACCGTACGTATGCCTGCGCGGTGTAGTTTCCAAGGACCAGTAGGGCCTTGTTTAGATGCCATCCAAATTCTAAGTTTTTTCACTCTCTCGTCACGCCTTCACTAATTCACGCTAGTTTGCACGATCTTTTGAACTCAATCTGAAGTTGGTCCAAGTTTATCAACATTAACTAGGGCAAATTTAGTTCATATAAAAACACATCAGAAACATAGCAAAATTAACAGCTGACTACGGTTTTCAATCAAACAAGTTTCTGACGACTCCACTCATCAGCCAGCAGGTAAATATTGTTCAATACTCAACGGCAGCACGTCGTGATTTTCAACAAAATTGTAATTAGTTATTTTTTACTTATATTTAATGCCCATGCAATCCAATCAAAACTGTGTAGTTTCCAAGGACCAGTAGCTCAGTGTGCGTACTTGACCAGCTGACCAGTACGTGCACGGACGACAAGTGACTTCACGTCACGTACAAATCCAGCAGGAAGGAAAGCTGACGACTCCACTCCACCAGAGCAGTATAATACTGACGAGTGACGAATGGTGCTCGTGCAGTCATCGGATTATTCGAACTCAGTCAGAGTAACCTACGCAAGTCGAAGCAAAGCCGCCCACAGTTTCAGCCATGAGCATCCCCCGCGCCGCGCACCTCCTCGTGCTCCTCTCCGTCCTAGCCGCCAACTCCCTCTCGAGCGGCGCCGCCGCGGCAGCGCTGCCGGTGTACGACACGGAGGGCCACGGGCTGAGCGCCGACGCGGACTACTACGTCCTCCCGGCGCCCCGCGGGAGCGGCGGCGGGCTCACCATGGCCCCGAACGGGCTCCGGTGCCCGCTCTTCGTCTCGCAGGAGACCGACCCGCTCCGCAAGGGCTTCCCCGTGCGCTTCACGCCGCTGCCGCAGAAGGAGCAGCAGCAGGGTGGCAACGGCGACGACCGCACCGTGCGCGTCAACTCCGACGTCGGCGTCCACTTCGCCGCCGTGACGACGTGCGTGCAGACCACCGAGTGGCACGTCTCCGGCGGCGGCGACGCCCCAGCCCCACTACTGCCGTCGGGCCGCCACCGGCTCGTGCTCACCGGCCCGGTCCGGTCACCGAGCCCGAACGGGCGGGAGAAGGTGTTCCGCGTCGAGAAGCACGGCCGCGGCGGGTACAAGCTGGTGTGGTGCGGGGGCGCCGGCGGCAGCACGTCGTCGTGCCAGGACCTGGGCGTGTTCAGGGACGATGGGGACCGCCGCGCGTGGCTCGGCACCGCCGAGACCGACCGGGCTCATGTCGTCGTGTTCGAGAAGGCAGCGACCGTACATGCGTGAATAATCGTGATGCGGTGCTCTGTAGCGTGCGTGTATATGCATGCCGAATAATTATGGATTTGTTCCGTTATTGGCAACCAACTTGTTGTGACTTGTGAGTACTATTTCTATGTGATCAGTCCAGAACCCAGATAAAATAAAACAAAGCAAAATTACGAGAGTCTGAATTTGTCCCAAACCTGAAACGACTGAAATACAAATGTGCATAGACAATGTTCGTGCTTTTCTGAAATCATGATCTCCAGGTACATCTCAAGATTTTTTTTCAACACTTATTGTTCATTAAAGTTTTCTAAGCTTATTTCCTTGTCTTAACGAGCTGTTTGGTTCTACAGCAGGTAACGCAAACGAAAATAATTTAAGCCTGCAAACGTTACCGGCCGCAGATACAAATGAACTAATTTGATTACATTTGCGTTACTGTTACCAAACAGCACCTAAGCATTACAAGATTTCTTAAGTTCCATCAATTCCACTCTTCATTTTAATATATAATCCGCAATTCTCTTACTTAGCTCGTTTAGGAAAAAAAAGAAAAGAAAAGAGAAATAGTTGAGATAGCCTACTACTGTATGTAAATACGTGGAATGACTCGCGCCATGATCTCTAGCGCGACTAAAAGACTAGTTCATGAAAATTGAGTTTGAGATGTGCTTTTTTTTAAAAAAATATATTAATTTTTTGGCAAAAAAAAAACAAGGATAGCAACTGGAGAAGAGAATTTTAGGACAGGAAGCACGGATTCAAAGGTAAGAGGAATGGATTTCGAACATATGTTCGTAGCTCAGATAGTTCTCTCGGTCAAAAAAAAATATAATTATGGGAATTATGTAAGTCAAACTAACTTAAAATATGACCAAGTTTATAGTAAACTAGGTAGCGCGTCCGTGCGTTGTTACGGGATCACTAACAGTTTATACTAAAAACACACGGATCGCATGATAAGATAATAATACTGTAAAAATTAAATACCAATGTTAAAGTAACATTTAATCCAAAAAGCAAAGTTTATGAATTTAACACAGTCACGAAGTGCATGGCGTCGCAGGCTCACAAACTCTACTTTATAGACATTTCCGTAATGCGGCTAAGATAATATTTTATATTGGCAGAAAGAAATCTCCGATATCCATTTCTTTCATTGTAATCTATTTATTTGGACAATGTTTGAGGTGAGGGCATAGTTACAGTTTTTAGTAGCTTTGCGATATTGTCCGAAGCTATGAGATGATTGATGTCTTGCAATGATCATTTCATTAATTTAGTTTTCTATCTATGTTTAATTGTTTATTCAGTCTATTTTATAGGCACGCAGGTAGATAATGGATGATAAAATTCACGCATCCATAATTTATCTCTCTGACTTTGAGCATGAGTTTTATTTTTATTTTTTAATTGATATATTGTCCTTTTATTTTTACCGTAGCGTTAGCACGGCCATGCATGAAAAACGAAGATGTCTTTACACTGCAGAAATTTTTTAAGAAGATCATGCATAGATTATTCTTGTATTGAATATTATATATATACAATCACCTAAATATTCTAATTAAACTACAAAATTTTGAATTAGGATACAAGGTAAGACATGCAAATAGATATTTCAAAACTATCGGTACAGTCCAAAGAACTTAATAAATAAATCCTTCTGGAGGCAATGCAAATTCTCTCTAATATTTCATTTGGTGTAGTTAGTGTTATCATAGTACCCGTATGTATTCATGAGAAATAAATCGTGGACAAAACGTGGACACTTTTTGGTGCGACATTCCAACGTGGGTCCATCGTCTTACCAATATCCTTGAGGTAGATCATATAAAGGATGAGAGTCCCTCTATAAGATTGCTCACAAGAGACTCAAACTTATATCTGATCATGGTAATGTTGAATTGTTTTGCATCAAAAGTATCAACAATGATAAACGGGGACATAGATTTTAGTATACATAGTGGAGAAAAACTCAACCTTAACCTTCTCAGCAGCTTTTCTGAGCTTTTACAATGCTAACTTGTCCTTACTCAGATAGTCGAGGTGCACCATAAAATTATGCACCACTAAGAAAAGTGTCATAATTGGTTGCCTTGACCTGACAAATGTGTCGAAATTAAGAATTACAACACATAATTCAACATCTTAGAACAGACACTCAAGTGGATACTTTATTCTACAATATATGTCTGTGTGGAATAGTTTTAAAGCCACACATATTTATACGGTGAGTATAACATACTTTGTTTTAAAAATTTATGAGAGATTTTTTAAGACACGTAGTATTATCCATGTGACAGACACTAATATTTATATATATACTCGAACCTGTGTGTACAGGATTATATGGAGATGCAGCGGAACTTATTCATGGATTTATTGGCGCATGAAAGAAATAGATATCGGATAATTCTTTCTGCCGATATAAAATATTATCTTAGCCATATCACGAAAAAGTCTATACAGTAGAGTTTGTGAGCCTACGACGCCGCACTCTTCGTGACTGTGTTAATTTCGTGAACTTTACTTTTTGAATTAAATGTCACTTTAACATCGGTATTTAATTTAACAGTATTGTTATCTTATCGTGCGATTCGTGTGTTTTTAGTACAAAAGGTTTAGTTGTCTATGGTTCACACAAGAAATGGTGTCTGGTGTCTCCTGTCGCGATGGACCATGGATTGGGGAACGGGAATATGGGAAAGGATTCAAAATGAACAGACCCAAGGACAATTGTAGCAAGAAACAGCAAGCAAGGACGATGGAACACGTGAGCGTGAAACCAAATGAAAAAAGGAAAAAGTTGTCCCTTTTACAAATACAAAGATGGAAAGTAATTAAATGTAGACAGATTTGGCAAGGTTCTCAAAAATGCAAAGAGGTTCCTTTTATCTTAATTCTCTTTCCTTCTGTGTTAATTCTCTTTCCTTTTGCTCGTTGCCATGTATGCTGGTGCATGTAAACATGCAATGTGTATATGGATAGCACAATAATTTTCTAATTCCTATTTTACCATGATTCATTTATCACATGGCAGCCAATATTCAATCAAGAAGAATTATGCATGCGGGAGATGTCGTGGGATCGCAGATATGGGCAGACGGACAAACCAAAACAAATGTCGCACCAAAAAATATCCACACTTTGTTCTTTTTAGTTGTATGAGATAGTGTTAACATTTATGTATATAACTAGATCTGCTATAAAATATATTCCATAATTAATATAGTGGTACATATTTTGTACTATAAATGTTAGTACTTTTTTATATATCTTTAATTAAACTTTAAATCATTTTACCTCTTGGAAAGTGAGAATTACATTATCTTTTGGGACGGAGGAGTACATAATGAATGTCTCTTTTTTTTTTTTTTTTGATTGGATGATTGTCTCTCTTTTACTCTGCTACGATTACATACAGGAAGAGGCACTGCTTTTAGGCTTCAGCCACTCATGATGACGTTAATCCAATTTGGCCCAAATACCCAAGAGTTCCTTGTCATGGGCCTAGAAACCAGCCAACACTCACGCCGTTGCTCAAGCCTTCTTTTGTTTCTAAATGTTTAGGGCTTTGTTTGTAACTGCTTCATTTCATCAGAACCATCTTTACTCTACCAACTTCATCATGGATCAACTATACAAAAAATTAGAGTTTCTGGAGTACCTCTAGAATTGGCCCTCAACTCCACCTTTTTTCTAAAGAAAAGTTCATGGATTTATCCCTGTCTGGCTAGTGAAGTTGGGAGGGAACCGGAAAAAGGTGGAGTGGAGCAGTCCAAATATGACCTCATAGTCACTGGCTTATACCTCTTGTGCTTGGCTGCTAATAAACCTACCCCTCACGTCTCGCCACCGCTGGAGTCAATTGTTGTATTCCCAAACATGGGAAAATATGATAGTAGAGGGGCTTCCCCTAGTTCCTCACGCCACGGTGGTCTCACGATGGCGAACCTTGGAGCCATCGGTCCATGCCCTGGTGGAGCTCACGACGATAGTCGATAGCTGTCTTGGCGGCTCATCGCTGAATCTAAGTTTGGCCTCTCGGATCTGGCATTCCCCCTATTGTTCACAAGATGACGAGGTGGTGGCAGTGTTCGTCCATGGTTGCGACGCAGCAATGATTCCTGGAACTAACAACCTGATGCATGCCGTCTAAGTTATGGTGGTGCTATGGTGGTCCTAGACCACGTGATGGCGATAGGAGCTCATGCATGGTGGGCTGAAGCCACTTTCTTGCTACTATTGTGGTAGCCTATGTAGGCAGCGCCAGGGACACTTGCGTGCAACTCTATGGTTTTACCGATAGGTTGCTAATTGTTGTGTGGGGTGGTGTTGTACAGTGCGGTGTTTTGGAGCCTAGCGGATTGGAGGCGGTTCCCCCATAGTGGCCGCCAACGACTACGCTAGCAATGTTCCTTGACGATGATCGACATAGCGGTGACTAGCTCGCGTTTTAGCACCGCTAGTTCGGTGCGATAGCTATGACTAGGCGGAAGCGTCTCACTGTGTGCCCATAGTGACCCCTGTAGTGTTGCTAGGTAGGTACAGTAGTGGCAACGGTGTGACTAATACCAACCTAATTAAGAGTTTCAACGGAAGTTTATGATTATGGATATTTACGCAAGTGGATGTTCATGTTGCAGGTTTCATTTTGTGGGCAATCGGCGGTTAGCTAGCGACTGTTGGGTTGGTTTTGTGGTGACTAGCTACGCATGCCTATTGCCAGCTTGCAGCCATTTTTTCAACTAGCGGAAAGAGATTTATTGCAGATGGTGGCCTAAGTAGGGATGTCCGTGGCATTACCTAAAAGCTTGATGAATTGCAACACGCAAAGGTTATGATGGAGCTCTGTGCCCTAGTGTAGGAACAGGTTGCAATAGTTGGTGCTGAACGGGATGACATGTAAAGAATGCTTATGACATGGTCGGTGTGGCAGCGATCTCCCACTAGTAGTAGCTTTGTTGTGATCGTTGCCTCGACGGATTGTCTCGAATGGCTATGGCAAGTTTGTCGTTGCAATGGTGGTGCTTGGTTCGAGAAGTGCGGACTTTTAGGTGAAGGTCCTGCTGGGCTACTCGCCTCACCTGGCAATGGTCACATTTTTTACGCCTCGCTTCTTGTTTCAGGCTTTGTCGTGCGGTCTGTTACCTTCTAGGGCCTCAGTTGAAAAAACCAGTGGTTCTCCCCTTGACGTTGGCTGCATATGTGGACATCATTTCCCTTGTTGGAGGCGTCATTTTAGAGAACCTCCCCCCTCCCTTCCGCATGCTCTTTACTTGTTTTCTACAACGTGTTAGGTGATGTTTGCCTGCTGGTGCTTTGATTGTAAAGCATGCGGTTTTGTTGTGTTGGTCGTCTTACTTTTGCTTTCGCCATTAGGACGGTTGTTTTATTTGAGTGTATTGTTGTATGTTATTTCTTCTCTGTGACTATTAATACATGTCTAGCATTTTTCTTGGTGGAGGACTTTTATACCCAACGCGATCTCAGTAGATGCAAAACACAAGCTGCTGCCTTGAAGACGATGAACAGGGTGTGGGTCGCAACATTATTGAACAAGATAGACATAAGACATGAGACATCACATAGGCGTAAGCGTAATGTGTCATCCCTGGTTAGAAATTGAGGCCTGTACCCTTGAACTTGGTCTTGGTAATAGCGTCGATGCGCCGCGCTGACTCCGGCGACAGATAGTTCGCCCAGTCCCCGACCCCGCCGCGCCGGAAGAACGAGCTGTTCTCCACCGCGCCAACCACAAACTCCGTCTTACCGCTTTTGGTCACCTCCAGCCCGCCCATATGCTCGAACGAGCATAGTTTCACGATGGCGTCCACCACGCCATTCTCCTCCTCATCAACGTCGAACGGGAGGCCGACGAACGTGGCGAGCCTCCGGACATGCGCCGGAGGATCCTTCCACACCTCCTCGTACCTTAAAAAGAGCACCTGCTCGGGGTGCGCCAAGTGAGCGCGCCAGTATCCGAGCACGTGGTCCCAGTAGGGCCCGAACGCCGACAAGCCGTCGCAGAACAACTCGGCGGCGATCTCCACCGAGAGAGGCTCGAGCCCTTCCTTGACCCTGAGCTTGTTCACGAAGTGCCAGAGCGAGACCATGGTGTCCTTGGGGTCGCGGCACATGTACACGACTTTGCATCCCGACGCAACGACGGCCGCGGGCAGCGCCACCGACGGGACGTGCGTGGCGAAGAGCCTTGGATCCGGGAGCTCGTCGACGTCGTCTGGAAGAATCGTCTTGCCGGTGTAGACTTGGTACTCCAGGAACTTGATGCACTCGTGGGGGCCGAAGGAGCTGAAAGGGTGGACGTCAGTGGCGTCCGCGGGATGTTCTCTGCGGTGCACGGTGGCGAACAGGAGAGACTTGATCCACGTCGTGCCGGACTTGGGCAGGGTGGCGACGACGATGTCCGAAGGCCGCGCCGTGAAGCACGCGTCCGCGGCCATGGTGCCGGCTATGCACATCTGGCTGCCGTGCCACCCTTGGTGGTGACGATAGAGTTGGAGGTGGGACAAGCCGTCTGATCTCGGCAAGGAGACGACCGAGTTGGCGAAACGCCGGTAGATTTCTTGGTCGGTTTCTGTTTCCACACGGGTTTCTGGCTCGGTTTGTGAGGGAAAGCTTCGCATGGAGGAGGAAAACATGGCGTTGCAGTAGGGGTCTACGATGAATTGGAAATGGGGACTCATACCATTAGCATCTTTCTAGTTTTGTCTCTCTGTCTCTGTCTGGTGGTAGAATTTTTGTGGGCAACTGCCAACTACCAATGGAACGAAGTCTACCTTACTCTGGCTGACCGGCAGCGAGATGCACATGATTGCGAAATGTTAGCTCGTATGTCAGTCTCATAAATCCACTTAGCGTGTTATATATTGCAGCAGTAGGTTCATTATTGCAAAAGAAATGAGAGACCCCTCTTGTTTTATTTTGAACAGAGAATACCAAGTATCGCATACGGTTGACAGAGTTGGCTGAACGGAAACCTCATGTAGAGCTAGTTGGGACAGAAAAAAAAATCCTCTTTCTAAAAAATAAACAAATTGGAGGTGTTGCTATTTTCCTGTTATTTTTGTTGGGAAAAGAAAGTTGAATAAGATCTAATGATGATATGATATGAACGGACACTTTACCCAAGCACTTACCTTTTTTCTTTCTTCGTCTAATAGAAAGAAATAAACTCATATATACAAACTGCGTCACAGAAATGACTGCAGCTCTGCAGCCAGTGTTGAGCTGCCATTCTGGATACACTGCAAATATCTGAGCAGGCACGGCAGTTGGATACGTGTTGCATCTTTGTCACTGTTGGATGCCTTCCTACTACGTACTAAGTACTGATACGGTGAAGGCTAATGGACAAACACGGTCAAATTGGATCCAGACACGATCGATACACAAAGCAATAAATTATGCGAGCAAAAGACCCGATGAATGACAATTTCTACTTGTTTTTCATGAATCTTTATTAACAATCGATCCTTGTGCTAATGCGCTTGATGACGTCTCGCCATCAGTTTTTGTTGCTCTGTGGAGGAGAGCCTGGGGGCATCACCGCATCTACCCCATGATCTGTTCTTGCAAAGTCCTGTTGCTGAATTCATTTTTGGTTTGGAGTGCTGTTGCTCGCTCCCTGGGTCCTCCTGATTGCCTCTGTTCGCGGTTCGCCTCAGGTACAGGCTTTCAGTATTTCGGTTCGGCTGCCGTGAGACACTGAGACCATAGCATATATTCCATCCGTTCTAAATTATAAGACGTTTTGGCTTTTCAGATATGTTGCTTTTGCGCTATGCACTTAGATATACATTATGTCTAGATACATAGCAAAAAACAATGTATCTAGAAAAGCCAAAATATATTATAATTTGGAACAGAGGAGTACTGAACTAGTTTCGTTGAGTCTTGCAGCCAGACGATTTAGGCAATTAAAAATGGTACTCAATCTGGTCATAAAACAAGTGGTTTAGGGCAAGTTATGTTCAAACCTTAAAACTACAAACATAACTCTTGAATTATTGAGTTTGAAAACATTTATGATATGTGTAGATTTTCATTGGAAGACACATATTAGATCTCATAAATTTGTAGGATTTAATAACACATCTAGAAGACATTAGTAGTCAAATATACACATCGTAGACCGACAAGGTCATACGTGTGAAGCATTTTTCACCGGATGTAGTACAAGAAAATCCATGCGTCTGTGCCAGGATTCATTTACCTTGTAATGTTTGATATTTTCGTGGACTCATGTAGTGGAGACATGGCCACATGGGACTATGGGAGAATGTCCTTAAGGGTGCGTTTTGTTGCTCGAATGAAGTTTTGTAGATCCGCGCCTTATATCCTGCATGAGGGGATGCAGGCTCAGTTGGCGCAAATTCTTAGAGTGTGTTTGGTGAAACTGTAGGAGACGATGCAAAAATATTGAGGTCCCGTTTGGTTAACTATATGAGTGGATGCAATTTATCTTGTTCGAGTCTGACATGTGGGCCTGCTTCTCCTGTGCATGCATCCGGCCAGCCAGGCTCCACAGCGAAGGCCAATTCGGCCGCACCACCACAGCCTGCATGCCACCGTTTTTTGCATGCGCAGATGCAGGAGCGCACACTGCAGCAGCTCAACCAAACGCGTTGCTCTGCGAGTTTATACGCATGCGCACGTGCACCCATCCAAACACACTCTTAGTGGAAACACAACACATAAAAAACATCACTACCCAGGTTCAGCTGCATCTGAATTTCCAGCAACTAAAGCCTCATGTCTGCAGGCCCAGGACCCAGGATGCCTTTCTCTGGGTCTATGGGAAGCACATCCGCATGCGAGCACCTCCCATCTTCCACTGATGCCTGCTGTGGCTCGAGCCATTCCTGCTGTTCAGTCAAAGTGTTAGACCAACAACATTTCCAATGAAACAGAAAATAAAAACCTACAACTTAGCTACTAAGCACAGAAGAAACAGACCTCTTCATGAGCATTATCAGGATCATGCAAGTTGGGAGTTACAATCGGTGGTATTGCATCTGGATCAGGCTTCTGGAATACAAATATTGAATACAAGCCTGCAAAAACCAACTGAAACATTGAGTAAACTGGGACCTTACAATCCAATGCATCCAAAGGAAGAATTCTACATCACCTAAAATGTCGTAGGAACGAGCAACAAGCTTCCCACGAGCATTCAAAAACTTGCACTGTAACCACCAAGCATTGGAATAAATGGTGTTCTGGGTCAGTCAGAACCAAGAGTCAAATACAGTTTCGGACTCCAACATTGCGCGTGTTTAGTTGGACCCCAAATTTCAAAAAAGTGCTACAGTACTCATCACATCGAATCTTGCGATATGTGTATGGAGCATTAGATGTAGATGAAAAAAAAACTAATTGCACAGTTTGGTTGAAAATTACGAGACGAACGTTTTGAGTCTAATTAGTCCATGATAAAACACTAATTGCCAAATAAAAACGAAAGGGCTACAGTAGCCCAAATTCCCAAATTCACCCAACTAAACACAAGCATTGTTTGGTAGTAATCATGTTGCATTTATTGGGACAGCAGGCGATGAACAGAATAAATTGAAGAGATGCAAATGAATTACAAAAAAAAAACACTCTATAGAGAACCAACAGGAAAATGATTGCATGAAAATAACATACTGGGCCTGTTCGCTGGTTGGTGTTGGTGCTGGTTTGGGCTGGCTAGTGCTGGTTTTTTGTGAAAGGAAAACACTGTTGGCTGGCTGGTTTAGGCTGGCTGAAACCAACAAACGAACAGGCTGACTACCTGTTGTCATCATAAAACTCGGTTAAATTCTGAATCTCCACATATTCAAGTCCAGCTTCCCTTGCTAATCTGTTTCAACACAATTTACCCTGTTCGCTGGAAGGTTTTTGGCTGATGCTGATTTGTTGTGAGAGAAAAACACTGCTGAATGGCTGGCTGATAAGCGCTGATAAGAACAAGCGAACAGGGTGGTTCATAGCATTGTGAAAACTCTCATCACTCAACTTGCCTATATGGCTGATATTGTTGCCTTGATATTGCAATATCTAACTTACATGATTTCTTTCCTATAGATTCAACCTGACTGGAGGCAGGCCATATCTTTGAAGAAGGCAATCTCTATTACAACTAAAACATTCGTAAGGGAATCCGCCTGGTCCTTCGCCAGTTCCTTCGTCAGATCTTCGTAAGGGCACCCAGTAGGTATGTCCACCCCTTCTCTTCCCTTTACTTCTCTTTTATTCGGATCTTGTTGGAAAGTACTAACCAGTTTCAATTTAACTTGCCTGTGATAAATTTTGAAAAACTATATGTGCCGCCTGTGTCCCGTATCATTTCAGAAACTGCGGCATAACGGGAGCACCATTTCTTTTCTCCAATTCAGTTCTGCGTTGTAACAACAGCTTCCCTGTCTTGTCTGAATGCCTGCTTCAGTTTTTAAGCCCTGTCTAACGTTTCAGATCAGAGCATCAGCAGCCCATTATCAACTTTGTAAATATTTGGAACTGAATTTTGTAATACTGAGTCATTGTTAATATGCTGTTAGTTGATGATTTATTGCTGCTACTTACTGCTTCTGTGGTCTATCTGTAAGGTCGGGGTAAATGAGATTGATTAAAAATTTGTAATTAAAAATAAGATTGATCCATAATTAACAAAAAAAAATTATCGATTGCTGCTTTCATCAATTCCTCATGTTTATTTTCCCTGAATTACTGTCAAAAGGCAATTGTTTATGTATGCTTAATTCATGTGACTGAGACAAGTAGTTTCTGTACTGATTTTTTTTTCAAATTATTATCATCCACCGAATTCAACATTCCGTATTTTGTGAAAAAACCTTAGTAATCTATACTGCATCTTCAGGCTATTGATCATATCATCAATTCAGCTGCCAAGTCAAACTATATGTTAGCTGGTCAGATATCTGTTCCTATTGTTTTTAGAGGACCAAATGGAGCTGCTGTTGGAGTTGGTGCTCAACAATCACAGGTTTGTTGGATGGAATTGCTCATATAGTTATATACTTATGTGTCTGATTATCATCCTTCTACTTTCTAATTTTTAATTTTTATGTTATTGCCATCCTTTTAGGTGGCTTGCAACAGAAATAGTAAGTTCTTTTATATTCGTCACACATTTGTTTCATAGTTGATTTATTAGTAATGATTTTACCTGTGCAGTTTTTTTATTCGTCACACTGTAGATGAGATCAAGGAGGTATTTGCGATACCGCCTCATGGTTTTATTTTATTGATTTGATTGATCATGCTGTTAGAAGAATGTTTCAGAGTACAACCAAAATAAATTTTGTAGACAAAAGATTTTGATTTCCAGTAAATCGAGTAAGCAATTGTGAACTTAAAAAGGTTTAATTGTGCATGCTTTCAGTTCAAATCATTTGGATCAACCGTATCAAGGTTTTTTACTAAAGTAACTGTTCTGATAATTGATGTTATCTGAATGAGAGACTAGGGCAGAAACTCTGAAACATAGTAAAACTTTCAGTAGTCACTTGATAGGTCCTGATGATTTTTTTAGTAGCTTGGCCCTGCAGTTGCAGGCACTTTACTATTATTCTTGAGTGCTTGGCATATATTGTAAATAAATTGGTTGATGCACAGGTTGATAATATGCTTTTCT